ATTTGGTGATGGAAATATTTTAAGATCAAAGTCATTATTAAAAACGGTGATAATTAAGTTATAATTTGATTAACCATGTAAAATATAATTAATTTGTTTTGACCATAGCACCGATATGAAAATTAGCCATAATTTGTCTCATTTTCATGTTAATTATCAAATTTTGATTTATTGTCCAGATAATCTTTACGGCGATCCTCGCCTGTGCCCTGGCCCAAAGAGGGGCTTACCGGCAGCCTCAACCCGGCCAACCCATCGCCATCCTAAGACAATCGCAGGATGTAAACTTCGATGGTTCATATCAATGGAGGTAATTGTAAAATCTCCAAAACGTGTCATCGATGATTAATATCTTTGTCTGGTAGTTACGAAACTGAAAACGGTATTGCAGCTCAAGAACAAGGTGTGTTGAAAAATGCTAATGGTCCAGAACCCGCCGAAGAAGCTCAAGGCTCTTTCCAATACACGGCCCCTGACGGAACTCCAATTTCCCTTCAATACATCGCCAACGAAAATGGTTTCCAACCCCAAGGAGCCCATCTCCCGGTCCCTCCACCCATTCCGCCTCAGATCCAAAGGGCTTTGGAATGGATCGCGGCCCATCCAGAACCAGAAGAAGGTACCAGAGGCTTTAGGAGACAATAATTAAGTGGCTGACTTTGTACAATATTTATTGCTATGGCGTGTGATTTTTATTATAACAAAACATAGATTCGATTACGAATTAGCAAGTTAATAAATTGTTAAATTAACAAAATACTGGTTTTTATTTTATGTTGAAAAAATAAGGTATTTTCTAATATAACATCCTGGATAAAATCGTGATTATTAAAAATTACGGAAGAGTTATTTATAATTTATCATTGCAGATAATAAACATAATTATGTAGATTATTCATTCTTGGATATATATTTTTCGTGTCAAATATGAACTTACAATTTAAGGATTGTAGATATTTTGCAATGATTATAAATTATAGTCAGTGTACCATTACTATTGCGCATCCATATATTGACATTTTATAATTTTGAATGACATTTTAATTTTAAAAGTAATAATAATGCAAACAGGTGTAATATAAATAGTCATAAAATTGCAGCTTTACTTGACAGATTTTTTTTATTAACCGGTTTTTATAGTAAAATTCTCAATTCTCAATTCTTATTGCTGATATATGAAAATCTATAAAAACAATTTACAAACGGTCGATGTAAAAATAAGATAAAATGTTGTTTTAGCGAAAGTTTTCTCAATGGTCTTTATTTTTACTTGATCAATTGAGTAACGTATGATAATTTTGTATYCATTCATGTTTTATTTTTAAATAAAAACATTTTTATAATATCTAATACAATCATGATTGCAAATTTATAATTGCAATTTAATGCTAAATACGATAATTACACACTCTGGTAACACTATGTGATGCCTCTACCGATGAACTTCTTTCATGATTACCAAATGATTGCACCTATGCATGCATAAGGTACAATTTACAAGAATTACAGTGCTACTTAACACTCTCATACTTAATTTTATATTACTTTAAAACAACACGTATTGATGTTTATGACACATTTCGTATAAAAGAAATTTAGTTCAGGTTTGAAGAAAGAAAAAACAAAGCTTTTCTTATGTTTGTCCTTGTTGAAGCTTTGTTTGATTTTATTTCTATGAAATTGAAATTATTTATTATTTCCGTGACTTGATCCTCTATGTAATTCAGTAAATGTTAATCTACATATATTGAAATGATAGTAGGTAAACTAAGTTTAGTATAATTTATGATTTTTTCAAGGTTTTGCTTTTTATGATACCATTACTATAAAATTTATTAATTAATAAAGACATAGATTAATAATGAAGGAACTATAATAATAGTAAAATAATTAAGAGAAATCTTTTACAATAAATAGTAACCTTGTGCGAAATGAAATTACCTTCTAAAAGCCAGTGTTTGCAGATGAATGACGACTAATCACTGAATTTTTATTACTTATGTGTTACTTATATTTTTAATGTAAAATTTAGTGTAAAATGTAATTTGTAGCAAATGTTGAAAAATAATCGAAGATGATAATATGATTTTACAACTTTATAAAAAATAAGTGCATAATTGTTAAAATTTGAAATAGTATAGCAAGTATTTGGACCAAAAAAGTGATATAAATTGTTCCTAAAATTAATTCGTTTGTTTACTACGAAACAACAATTATTTTTGTAACCTTGTGAATCAATAAATCAAGATGTTACTGTCTGCTGTTATTAAAACATCTTGACTATTATAGCAGTTTAGTCAAATACCTACTTGTTTAGCTCATGCTTGCATTGAAGATGCGCTCTAAAACTGCCTTCTTTTGTACTTTAGTGCTGAAACTAACTTGTAGTGAAAATGAGTTTGAAAACGCTGAAAATATTTTCGAACACAGTATTGATGAAAACGGATATGGCTTAAGGTAAGCCTTACGACCTGCTTCACAACTACCTAATGTTAAAAATTTAGTTGTGAAAGTCGGAATAAAAGTATTATTCATACTGAAACCGGAAAATTAGTGAAAAGTAGAGATGGTGTTATTGTGAGAGCGGAAGGAATATTTCGATATATTGGAGAAGACCCAAATGTGTATCTGATGGATTACACCCTTGATGAAAATGGGTATCAGTTTGAAACAATTGCGCTAAGTGAGGAAGACGAGGAAGTAAGAATAAGTAGTGCAGCACTTGCCAGTTTGGCTGGAGGTGGGCTTGGYTAGGAAAATTTAAGAATTCTTCAATAAATCTACTGGTCTCTTTTTTACTCGGTTTTTTATTATTACTGTAAGCATCTAAAATCTGGAATAAAATACATATTTTATTGGCGAGACATTAATGAATGTGCGCGTGACATTATTTACAGGGTGATTTTAAAGTATCGTTAAATAAATTTAAATTTGGAGTGCAGCTTTAAACTTCACCAACTCAAGTTGTAAACAAAATGATCTCTGAGGTTAGTTCTTCAAAATCTATTACATTGTTACACAAAATAGGGGCATAAAAAAATCATAAAACTGAAACAAATTTGGATCAATTTTTTTGTAAGAGATATCACCAAATTTCATTACTTAAAATGTTACCGAATGTAAACTTTGAGATAAAGTATTCAAAAAGTTTAATCTTCGTTTATATTGCATTTTTTGACAATTTTTGCCACGCGAAAGTGGAGGTTGGATCGCACCGTCTATATCTCTGAAACCATAAACATTCGGATAAGACAAGTTTAGTTATTTTGACTTCTTTTGAGCTCTACTATCACCCAGTATTTAATTGGATAATTTCTCCCATTCAATAACAATAACAAGAATATAATACATGAAATTAAACAAACAAATAAAGTGTTTTACAAATCAAACACTTTTTTATTTACTCAGTATCCTGGTATTGAAGTGACGTGGTATTTAACACAATGAACAAGTAATCTTATGCTTGAAGCTGAAGAGAAACATAATGAATCGTATTACATAACGACTAATAAGAGATTTAAGAGCAATTTCAATACAAAATAATTTTTATGATTGTCAAACCTAGGAAAGAACWGGCTTTCCTTTCAGTAGGTTCTAAGTGATTAGCGGTTTTATGTTAGTGCTCCTTGTCACAAGTTTAAAAATAATGAAAAAACTGTATTTCTTTTTAACGTTTTGTGYAATTATTCTTGAATGTAAATTTCAACGTGGTGATATTATAAGTCCGGCTGTGGAATACGAAAATGATATCAATGAAGATGGTTATCACTTCAGGTGAGTTAATTAATTTAYAATAACATTTATCTGTAGTACATGTTACAATTTCGTAGATACAGAACGAGAGATTCTGAGCGTGAAGAAACCGGGGTCTTTGATAATACTAGAGGAGATAATGGAATAATTGTTGTTAGAGGATTTTATGCATTTGTCGGAACTGACGGAAAAACGTATCACGTGGAGTATGAAGCTGACGAAAATGGGTACAGGCCACAGGTTTCTTTACGATTAGGATCTGCACTTATGCCCGGAATCCCACCGATTCCATCAAGAATGCGCCCTGAACCTGGATTGTTTTTAAATTCAGCTACTTTGGCATCTTTGACCGGTGGCGGAATTGGTTAAAATATATTAGTTTTGTATATATAGATTTAAAGTGGAGTTTGGAACTATACAAAAAAGCAATAAACTTTTATTTCATATATAAATTTGATATTTGTTATTTTGAGGTATTAATAATTGTTATTTATATAAGTACCAAGGAAAAAAATAGTATTTTAATCCCGAGAATGAGGACATTTTCATTCAAGGAAGTAACAATGTTTATTTCAGACCACTTCCAGACTTCCATAGATACATACAACACTTTCCTACTAACAAACTAAATGAATAGTCGTCATATTCCCTGTTGGAAGGAAATTTATAATTTATAAAATTGAGCTTATTGTTTATGCAACTTCTAAAACAGTTGTAAATATTATGTGGTCTATCCAAGTTTAATGTTGTCTAGTGAAAGTTGTTGCAGTAAGAATCTAAATAAATCTTGGGAAATGGAACAATTCCTGTTTCCATTAATTTCTTAACGCGTTAAGTAAGTGCTCCTTATTTTAAAATATATTACAATTAATCATTTTTTATTACAATGCTGCTTCTAAATTGTCTTTATTTAATTGAACAAATTTTTTGAGAAGTAAATTGTAATTTTGAGTCGCTTTATTTTTTCTTCATAATAAAAATTAATTTTTAATTTTCCTTCTCCAAACTTATTAAACACAAAGAAGAAGTTTAAACATGTGAACAGCACTTTTTATTAAAAATATAATATTTATTTTTGAAAAAGATCCATTGTCCAATACATGATTAGTAAACTCAATTTTTTTATACGCTCCCAAAAATTGTTGTTTTAGGGACTCATTTAAGTCTCTAAAATGAGTCATTCCCGGACTCAATAAAATAGTACGTAAAATGGTGATTTTTGATACCCAGTCCCCAAAAACAATTTTTTCAACAAACGTATACCTGCAGCAAGAAACAATTTTATTCAAAAAATAATTTTCTTGACTTATTAATTAACTTATCATTTGTAGACATTTACAATGAATTTGTTTATATTTTTACGACTTGTTTTGTTTTGATATTACTAGCAGCTTAATGCCTAAACAAGAAAAATGTTGCTTAATAACTAAATTATAGCTGTTCAGACGACATTGAAAATCCCTTTCTACGTCAAAAAACAATCGTATTTTAAGTAAAAATATTTGAAGTGGAAATAATATTAAGACTTCTTCATGAATTTTAACTATTTAGTTGACATTTAATATTCTAATTTGGGTCAGAACCGCAGGATTATTCATAAAGAGTTATGAGGATGTCATTATTTTCGAACCTGTAGCAATCTGTTTTTAATTGTTCGTGGGACTCAAATTAACATGAAAATTCTATATTTACCTTATATGAACTGAGAATATGTATAAAACTTAATTAAAATAAGCATCTTGAACTTTGCAGCATCTTTATACATTCATATTAAAGTTATGGTTTCATAAATATTGTTTATTCTATTAATAATATTAAAGGTTTGAACAATTCCGACTTAGTACTACCGGAAAACCGCCAAGAGAAGGTTACATTTTTCCCAGTAATTCCCTCAATATATTTTAGTTTCTTACCCAAATGCAATAAACATCATGTCGAAATAAAAATTTGTCATTGGATAAAATATTAATATGTAAAGCGGTTACAATAATATGCACTTTATAAGACTACAAAATATATTATCCAAGCCTTTTTGTTGACATTTAATCAGAAGTTGTCAAAAGTTTTCAACTGGAACATGTTTTCTTCAGCAATAAAAACCGCAACAATTTTTTTAACGTCGTTTTAAAAGTATTTATAAAATGTAACATCTACGTAAAAAATACTAATTAAGTAGATATTATTAAATTTTAATGTTTCTCGAAATATTTGACAAAAAATTAAATAGGCAAATATGTGCCACATAAATCACAGACTTTACAATAAAATCTAAATTGCTAAATATAAACATCTCTGCACCCGGACTAAGTCAAGCAATAATTTATTTTCTACTAAGAACTGTCAACAAAACCTTTTTTATGGTATTAATATTGACATTTTAAAATAAAAAATTATACTTACCCATTGTTTAAAGACGCGTAAAAATAAATCAAGTTGAACCACCAACTGTGCAAAAAATGTTGAAGACCACTGATTGTTAAGGATGATTCCATATGAATTAGTTTAATAGAAAGAGGGGGAATAATTATGAGATTCTATAAACCAACGCATAAAAATCTCATAAATGCCACATTGGTCATTTTGTATAAATACTAGACTATCCAGCTCAACTTTTTCACAATCAGTTTCACCACCATGAGAGCCGTAAGTCAAAGAATTTTAACTTAAAAAATGTCCTAATTTTCAATTGTAGATCATTGTGATATTAGCTTTGGTGGCTTTGAGCGTCGCTCAAACTCCCCGCCAGATTGACATTAATGATGGGCGGTATTACCCGGATAACTCCGGGGCCTATAACGGAGCGGATGATGGGTCCTACCACCCCGACGACAGTGGTGCCTATCGACCCGACGACTCCGGGGCTTACCGTGGCACTTACGATAAATACGTCCACCAAGCTGATCAATTTGGGGGCAGTGGAGGCAGTGGAGGCAGCGGTGGCGCATTCATAGGCGGTTCGAGACGTGGAGGTACTTTTGTAGTTTCGGTACAACCCGCCAAATCTGCGGCTGTTTATACCGGAACTAGAACTGCCTCCATTGGCACTGGTAGTGCGATTATCACCGGAACGAGAACTGGATCCGCCGGTGGTGCCGTTATCACCGGAACCAGATCCGGTGTTGTTGGTAGTGGTGTTTCCGGAGGTGCCGTTTATAGAGGCTCTGTCGCCGCCCCAGTACAAAGTTCCGCCGCCGGCTATTACGACAACAGACATTATGCCATCCTCCGCAAAGAAGAACAAATCGAACCTGATGGTTACCACTATTTGTAAGTATCTTTTTACTATTCTTTTTTTTATAATTTTATTCTGTATAGGTATGAAACTGAAAATAAGATTTTGGGTGAAGAGCAAGGAAAATTAGCCAATGTGGGTACTCAAAATGAAGCAATGCAAGCCAATGGTTACTTTGAGTACACCGGACCCGATAATKTGGTTTATCGTGTSGATTATACTGCCAATGAAAATGGTTTTGTTCCCAGTGCTGCCCATTTGCCGACTCCTCCACCAATTCCGGAAGCTATTTTACGATCACTTGAATATCAACGTTCCATTGGAGAGTTGTAATTTGTATTTTGTGAATATTACGTTTTTGACTCTTATACTATGTATATAACTTTAGTATTAATAAAGACTTTGTTGAAGAATTAAGAAATGTTTATTTAATGTATGATATATGCTAATAATGCAAAATTTCGCCTCAATTTTTAAACATTTTAAAGGTGATATTGCTTAATTAAGACGAACAGAATAATATAAATAACAAAAACAACAAATTTCATAATAGTGAAAATAAAATCTGACAAGTAATGAGGAATAATTTTGCGAATAAATTATTAATTACTTGAGATCATGAAATTCTCATGTTAGACATGATTATTAATAATAATTATGGCGTTTATTGATGTAACAATTATAATCATCTTTGTTAATACATAAAGTTGTAAGTAAATATTATAATTTCAATTTTGAACGTGTTTACCTCTATAAACATATCAACGTTTTTCAATTTACATAAAATATAAAAATATTGTATTTGTTTAATTCTGTTTATTATTGTTAAACAAGTGTTATTTAAATATAAACATGCATTTTGCATTTTTATTAAATTTAGATACGTATCTTCCATAAGTATCATAAAATGTCAATTAAATTATTTGCTAGAAAAATTTTAAAAGCCATTAGCTAAATAATTTCAGAGACCTATTTTATTGAAAGGGTTCTTAACTGTTTGTTAAAAACAAGTCATTTTCTTCCAGCTCTTATAAGTTTTCAGTCAGTTTAAAAAAAAATAATTCGCAACGTTTATTTAATGTGTTTTTCTAAGTTCCTAAAGTTATGTCTCTTTATTTTGCGATTCAGAATATGAGTCAAAAAGATTTAGATATTGTAAAAAAAGCTTTTTTTCCTCAGGGGTCTGCTGGGGCAATAGTGGGTAATACTTTTTTGCTAACTCTGAAAATATATTTAAAAAATAGAATTTCACAAAATCATCATTAACTTTATCAAACGTTGATCAGGCAACTTAAAATACAAGTTTGTAATGAAATGAGCCTATCTAAGAAAAAAATATAAATCGGAGAATTTTATTACATGCAGTACGCCAGTGGCGCAGCCAGAGATAGAGTTTAAGAGGGGTTTACGTATCTAAAAAATTTCGGGCACTCATTTAAACATCATTTCAAAAGAATCGATGTGGTATAGGCATCAGTGTTTTCTTTAATAAAAAAAWTATTAAAAATTGTAGTGTTATGTAATGTTTTTTAGCTTTGAAATATAACACTTCTCAAAAAATAAAAAATATTTTTTTGGTTAAATTTTTTTATAAAAAATTTGTCTACAAGTCATACTATTTCATGCATACATTCACAAAGCAGGTAATAAAAATACCTCAACTCTTTAATAGAATAATTTCTAATGACACTTAATTACTTTCAATTAGCACCTGTCTATAAATCAGTCATTTCTATTACACATTTAGTTCTTAATTTACAACATCATTAAGTCCTTATACGTAAGGAAACAAATATAACAGTATATGCGTATCTATACATAATTCATTATATTTTAGCAACATGATTGGTATTTTTTTTATATTTATTCTATTCTGGGGACTTGACCCTTTTGGTTTCCAGTTTTTTAATTCTTTATTGTTCAGACTAAAATAATTATAGGAAAAATTGTTTTTTATTCAACTCTTCCTCAAATGTAGGTATACACAAACACATGTACCTACTTCTTTTGACTCATGATCTTAGAATAAAAATAAGTGTTATGTTTGATCAGAAATAAGGGTAATCAGGTCATGAGGTTATATACGCATTTTAGAACTTATTTTCTAAACAAAAGTAATTTTTTTTAGTTTTTACCTTAAGTTTCATTGCGTAGGTTTATTATGCGATAATCTAAGAATTTTGCTCCAAACGCCTCCATTGTACTCTTAAATTTTATAAGTTGAAATTTTCTCTAACAAGTAGAACAGCGACTACGTCATAATGCCTTATTTGATAATTGACGTAATAATTTACCTGTGTATTTTTCTAACAATCTCATTTTGAAAATAAACATTAGTGACCCAATTGTGTTTTAACATTAGTGTCGTTTCTCAATGGAATTTATCGATTCAATATGATAATCATTGTTTGTTTACATAATTAAAACCATTGTTTGAAATATTTTCTTAAAGCTCTTAAAATGTTATTTAAATGAAAATATTTCACAGAGAATTGAAGTAAATTGGCACATGACACACATACCGACCTTGTATTTAAATGTTATGAGCATCATTTTTGCCACGTAATCTGATCCAAATGATTGATATTTGCAGATGAAATCGGATCAATATTTATTATTTAAATGTCATTTCCCGCTTCCTGTACGCATTGTGATCAAATTCAATTACGTTCAAATAAATCAAAATRCAAATTGACCTTGCCATTCATGAACTAAATACCATAGAACAAAATTAGTAAACATGCATAAACCGAACCCACATTCTTGCTCATCTTTGTTTAGATCATAGTAATGAAATCGACCACTTCGACATGATTATTCTGTCACCTTGCATAAGTTAATAGTAAATTATCTSTAACAGAACATGTTCCATCAGGCAAGAGAAATATTTCTTCCTGAGTTATGCCGATATTTGCAATCGAATATACTCCTACCTGTTTCCTTATTCCGATATTCAAGTGCAAATTTTTTGTTTTAATGTTRAAATTTTTGCCAGGTCTTGGCGAGAATTTATTATAACTGATCTTAACATCTAGGTAATCCAAGATCGAGCTGCAATGATTATAATAATAATAGACTTGTAAAGTCACGATGGTTATTATCGAATTAATCAGTAAAACATATAATTGATTCAATTTTKAATTCACGTTTGAGTAAAATATTTATTCATATTGTGTAAGATGRAGCAAACCTAGTTTAGTCCTAGCAAAGGTTGTGACACCACTTGTAATAAAATAAATAAATATTTCAGGAGAAAGTTTTTTGTTTTTAATTTAGGGGAGACGGTCCAAAAGCCCACGTTTTAATTTTTCTCACAGGCTTTAATGCCACCTTTACATAAATAATGTCAAACAATCAAACTAAATGTCCATGAAGAAAGAAATAAAATGATAAATTATGGATCATTTATCTGGTTTAGAATAGTTTCAACACATAAAATTGTAGAAAACAAAAAAAACTATTGTAATACAATTACATATTTCAAATCCCAAGTGCCAATCCGGCTCCAAAAACATCACAACAATGAGGTGGGCGGACACTAGGATGAATTAGAGCAATTAGTCTAGCAATTTTAAAAGAGACAAAATTGAAAATCTAATATCTAAATCATAAAAGTTTTTTTTTAAGTTAAACCTATAGCTTAAATTTGAATAATGTTATTACTGTCATAAGAATGTGCGATTTTCTATTGGACGTCTTTAAGATAATAATACATGATCGACAAAAAGGTAAACTGGTTTAGTAATGCTTTATAAAGTTACGCAATCTTGACATTGATGAGTAGGTTGAGCTACATCCCTATCTTTCCTCATCAYACCCTATACTTTACATATAAGCGATGAAAACTTTGATGACGACCAGTTCTTCATAATACACAGTGAATCACACCACACCAYAACAATGAAAGTTCTGGTAAGTGAGGTGGTGGTGGGATATTTAATTTTTGAGATAAGTAATACATCTTCACATTTTGACATTTCTTGATGTTTCGTGAAGGTTAGTTAAGTTGTGGGAACGTACAGTGGTAAGAATAATCATTTAATTTGTAAACTGTGTGAACAAATCAATAAAAACTACCAAAAGTTCAAAATTACGATAAAATACAAATTTCAATCAAATAATAATTCTTGATTTGCACCTACTCGTACCTTTGACCTCTCACCAGTACTTATTTTAGTTAAATTTTGTTTCCGTGTTAAAATAATTTCTAAAAATATAGGTACCTACCGTAAGTAAGTAGGTATTTGATCACATGAACTTAGTGTAGATAATTTTTTTTTATTTCAAATCCTCATGTTTCAAAAAATTTTTAAAAAGTTAGGGAGAGCGTGATACACTAATTAAGCATTTTTCTCAAAATTTTCTTAGTGTTTGTCTACTTCAATCTCTTTATGTAACAGATAATCATTTGTGCCATTTCCCTGAGTTTGGCTGTTGAAGAAGATGGTCGATACGTGCCTGATAATTCAGGCCAATATATTCCATCTGACGAAGGACAATACATTCCTGATAATTCCGGAAGGTACATTCATGATGGAACTGGGGGATACAAGGATGACGGTACTGGGAGATACAGTGGCCAATTCAATGGTAATAAAATAGCGTAAAATAGTAATTTAGATAACAAGAAAATCTTGTTGAGCAAARTTAATAATTTACCATAAGGAGAAAACAAGACTATATGTTATCTAATTGGTGATGATTGCAGTAGAATATTGAATAAATTTAAATTTAAAATATGAATTGCAAATCTGGTCTTCTGTTAAAAGTGTTTTTAAAACTATGTTATGCAAATTGGAGTGAAAAGTGCTCTAAAACTAATATTACATATCGAGCGATCAAGATATTTGTAATCGAGTCATCTTTGAATCCGAAAACGTATGTCTGTGAAACGTCAAATAAAATGACAAGTCGAAAGGTAAAATGGTATGATCAAAAAAATTACGATTTTAATAACTAAATTTATGATTTAAAAGATTTCAAAGAAAACCGTTAACTGTTCTATTATGATACGCCAGCGACTAATTCTAGCCCATTTTGCCGTTTTATCTTTCGACTTGTCATTTTATTTGACGTTTCACGTGCACTTAGTTGAAAAACAGACATACGTTTTTAGATCCAAAGATGAATCGATTACAAATTATCTGAATCTCTCGATATAATATGATAATATTAATGTGTACAATAAATACTTAAAAATTTGTTAAATTATTAGCTTAATATTAAAACTAAACAAAACCTGCATAAGCATTTTATAAATTTATTGTTWCATATTTCTTTAAAAAATATAGTGGCGAACACGGAATTTTGGACATCAAATTTATGTCAGTTCAAAAAATGTCTATGTAAAGCCACGCTTTATTGTCATTATGATTGAAACTAAAATTTTAAAGTTTTAGTTGAAATTCATTTATTCAATCCTCTATGTTAAAATTGAATTTTATCTACTCTTTTCTTCATGTTAAAATGAAATTTTGTCGTCTAGATGATAAAAAATACATCCATTGTTGTATATCTGCGGTTGTTAGTTGCTAACGATCTTTGACATTGTTGAATTTTACTTTGACATTTATAAATATCGACCAAATTGACTACAAAATTAGTGAGGATTGAATAAAATTTTATACTGTAGGTACACGACGATAAAATTTTCATTATCTTTTCGAGCATAATAGCGTCTCGGCTGACGATTCRACGCTAAATTGCTCTCAAAGATAAAATTCAATTTTATCGTCTTGTATAATAAATAACTATTTTAGCGTCGATTTTCCGAAACAACAATGTCAGCAATACCTACATATTTTTATATATGTAAGTTCAATAAATTATTTTGACCTGTTGTCACTTTTTCTCTAACTGCCAGGATAAAAATTATAACTGAGGTTAGTTGCATAAGGACCGTTTTACATTTTTATGTTAGGCGAATGACAAATCGTCCAAAATTCCGTGTCCGCTAGTGATTAGTTTTAAATTAGTAGTAAAAATGGAAGACTGAAAAAACAAATTTACTATAAACACTTACAGTTACCAAATAATTTTATTTTCTTAAATTAGATTTTCTTATTTTCGACAAATTAATCATTCTAATTAAAAAAAAAAAAAAACGTTTTAACTATATCTATATTTACTAAAATATTTAAACACATTGTAGGAATAAACAGCAATTTGCTGACTTCAAATACTAAACAGCGACCTGTAATTCAGCCTGTGATAGACGTAAGAACTGCAAGAAGTAGCACCATTCGGCCCTCTACTTATCCACCCACTACTCGCCAACCCCTAAAGACTTACAATAATTACCAGGAAGGCAAATGGAAAATTATAAAGCAATTAGGTGATGTCGATACAGATGGATATCATTGGGAGTAAGTAATAAGTTTATAAAAAACAATGGTTTGTAAGTACTAATACATTTTTTCTGTAGGTATGAAACAGAAAACAAAATTCTTGCTGAAGAATCAGGAAAGCTTCACAATGTTGGAACTGATGCAGAGACTATGAGAGCAAAAGGATTTTATCAATAYACAGGACCTGACAATGTAGTCTACACTGTTGAATATATAGCTGATGAAAATGGATTCTTCCCAGTAGGAAATCATCTGCCAACACCACCGCCAATTCCGGCTGATCTTTTAAAAGCTTTGGAAGCGGATAGAGCCCAAAATAAAATTTAATGTCAARAAATAAAGGGTTAAAAATTGTAAAGAAAATAACTTTCATTTGCAAAATTCTTAAAGGGACTTAYTTGACCAGTACTTAATAATTATAATAAATTTCTGTACAAAAATAACAACACAAAATTATAGTTTACTCAGTTTTAATAAATACGTAATTTATATCAAATTTTTCAAAATATTGTACTCATAATTTTAGCAGAAAAATAATCAATCATTCATTATTTAATTACTGATTTACTGTACATAAAATGAAACAAATATTTGCTTCCTTTAAAAGTTTTCTATTCTGTGATCTCATATTCTGTTTATGTATAATATGTATTATTCTGGTAACTAGTAAAATCAAGCATTCTTTTTTCTAACTAAAGTTTTATTTTTACTCCTGCCATGTATTGTTTTGCAGTTAAACAATCTTTTCTCTAATTAAGATGTTTGTTTAGTTGCATACAACAAATTTAGAGGATTTTCTTACAGCTTTAAATCTTTTTTATATACAGGATGTTAAAAAAAGATTGTAAAATATTTAAGGAGGTAATAGTATGGACCAAAATAAACAAAAAAGTCCTAATAAACACGAGTCCGCAAAGTAACGGTTCGGAGATATCGGATGTAATTTTTTTTTAATTTTCACTAAAAGCTTCTCTTTTTTTGTTTGAACAGACTGCAAATAAATGTTTCAAAAAACGAATMATTTTCGATATCTCCAAAGCCGTTACTTTGCGTACTCATCTCTCAATTTTTTTAACACCCTGTAGATATAAGTTCTTGTTTACGTAGCATACATACAGTGTTATTCACAAGAGAAGTATTTCTGAATTTTTTTACCGCAACTAATAATACCAATATCACTAACTACTATATTAAATGTTATTTTTTTTTAATTAGAAATCAAAGTCAGTTGAATAGATTTGCCAGAGATGGCAGATTTTCAGATAACCTATACCTATTTAATCAAAATTTAACAAATAAGTTAACAAATTAAGTCAATGTAAAAGGTGTTCAAAGTGTCTACTTTACCATCAGCTCAAAACATGTATCGTTTGAAAGATAATTTTTTTKSYTTWA